CTGGGCCGTCCTATCGGCGCCAGGTTGGCTGTCCAGAGGCTGGTTGGCCCCGGACAGTTCGTCGGATGCCTCCTGGAATGTGTCATCCCGGGTGGCGTCCAGACTTTCATCACTGGTTTCCAGGTCAGCCGGCAGGATTTGTTTGTCCCGCCTGGCCTTGGCCTCGACCGAACTCGTTGAGCCGGCCGAGTTTGGCTCATCTGGTTCAGAACCGCTCTGTTTGGCCCTGCGGAAACCGTATGTTCCCGGTGGGTCGCGTGTGGCGTAGTTCTTCCCACGAGGTTTGGCGTAATCGTTTTGCTGGCGCCTGTCCATAGGACTGAGCAATCTCCGTTGGAGTTGCTCATGGCTGGTGTATGGCATCACCTTGGCCAAGGCGCTTTGAGTTTGGCCCATGGTATTGGGACTTGAGAGTTTTCTTTGGTCTTGGTCCGGACCGGAACGGTGGGTTGGCTGTCGCTGGTTGGTGCTGGTCAGGTGTGCTAGAGCTTAGGATCAGCGTTAGCTCCCTATGGCCCTATGTTACGCTACTGACCAGTGTGACGTCAGTTACAAAGTGGTCTTGCAAAAAGCTCTACGTCACGAGTAGCGTGCCGTGAGCAAAATTCAAAAAACGATATGACTCACTACGAGTCTTATAGCACGGGGAAGTTTCCCACGCGTTCTGATTGGTCAAAATTTTATGGAAAATCACCACGCTGACGTCACGCGACTTTTTTCACGAAAATTCCGGCTGGACAAAATGGCGGTTTTTTTACGCCGATAATTCGGTAAAAATCAGAAAAAATTTTCTCGAGAGTTCTGTTCTATTTTTCTGATACAGAATTTCACGAGTAATCCGAAAATGCTAGATTTACGCAAATCGGATAAGCGGTTGTAAAGTTATGAAGGGTTTTGGTTAGGTTCTACGCGGAAACCTCGAATTTTCAAAAGGTTCTACGAAAACCTACGACGCCACAGCAGGTCTTACCGGTCGATTTTCGATCCAAACTGCTGCTCCGTCGTTCCACTTCACCCTCTTCTACCGTGAGGGCCGCAGCGCACCCGATAGGGCGTATTGGTGTAACAGGACCGTACCGAGCGCAGTTTTTGCGCCGGGAGCCAAAGCTGCGGGAGGCCTACTTTTAGGCGCTGACCCGTATCATGCAACCCGGTAGGGCGCTTAATTGGTCAACAGCGACGTACCGAACGCAGTTTTTGCGCCGGGAGCCAAAGCTGCGGGGGACCTACTTTTAGGCGCCGACCCGTATGTAATCCGTCGCGCTGCGGATCTCCAATGAGATCCGTATAATGCAGGAGATGGTCGCGGGATTGCTGGCCTACTTATAGGCGATCAGCGTAGTTCGACCGAATGTTGCCTTCACTGGTGATCAGAGGTCTCGTCGGAAAGAAAACCGAACGATGCTGCTACCATGTCAGATCAGACACAGAAGCAGGAAGAAATGGGGCAAATACAGCCTTTATTGTGATAACAATAAAGCAACAACACACAAAAACCAACAGAAAACCCAATGCGGGAAAAGCTGGAAAAAGTGCCTGCAGTGCGCTGGTGAGGAATCGTGATTAATGATTCCGCGTGCTGCGAGTGTGCAACAGCTGATGCTGCAAAGCATGGAATCGCCCGTAGGCGCAGGGCTCCACCCCCAAGAGTGCAGAGAAATGCGCTGATTGGTCAGCGTAGACAAAGTATACGCTGAGTAAGCAGCGTAATAGCGCGGCACGAATGGAGTAGCCATGTGCGGGCGGGCGACAGAGCAAAGCCACAAGAGGTGTCTACCGCCTCGAGTGAGCGGTCTCTGACAAAAGTAAAATTACGAAATTGGAATTACAGCAATTGGTGGGTCACATGAATTTCGCAGCACGAGCAGTCTACGGCGCACGAACTTTTACTAGAATTTTCATCGACGCTATGATGAAACTTTCTGCCCCTTCCCATCGATTACGTTTATCAAAACTACTAAAAATCGAACTTCATTGGTGGTCGCGCCTTGCCATTCAACTGAATGGCTTAGCCCCATCCGCCTTCAGGCTACAACGCTGTGTGCACTATGTCACTACAGACGCATCCTTTTCCGGGTTTGGAGCTACCTGGGGCCAGCATTATATTGGAGGTAGCTGGCATACAGGCACCGCACCTCCGCACGCTTGCTTACGTAACTGGGTGGCGTCTCCCATACTCGATGCATCAGTACTGGACAATATTAATTATCTTGAATTGATAGCGGCTTGTATTCCCCTGTTGATTTGGGCGCCAAATCTGTCCCGCAGCAGTGTCTGCATTCTGTCGGATAATACGTAAACTGTGGCCTTCTTAAACCGTGGAACCACAAAATCCGCGATAGCCTTGTCATGGCTGAAGCTAATATTTTACGCATCCTGTTTTTATGACTTTCGCTTTTACGCTCAGCATATTCCGGGAAAGCTTAATACCGCAGCTGACCGACTTAGCCGTCTCAATACACAACCGTCGTCTTTACTTACAATTAGAAAGTGCTGCAATCTTGATGGCCCAGATAATGACGTGGATTACATTTATAGATACCCCAATCAGGAAACTGGATGCTCAGTTGCAGACATTGAGACACGCTTCCTTGAGCAGTGCTTCCCTTCGCACTCGTAAATCTCAATGGGAAAACTTCCGTACTTTCTGCGCCAACTTTGATTTGACCCCTTTGCCAGCCTCCACTCGCACGCTCTGCCGCTACATCGCTTACTTATCAACTAAATTTCAGTACTCATCCATTTCAAACTATTTGTCTGCGGTTTGTACCTGGCACAATCTCATGGACTTCGCTAGTCCTAATTTGCAGCATTTTGCTATTAAACAAGCTCTTGCTGGTGTAAAACGCTCCCGTTGCGAATACCCTAACAGGAAACCGGGAATTTCTGCACAAGATTTATCCCAAATCTATGCTAATTTGCACACTATACGAAAACCGGTTCGAACAGCCTTCTGGTCTGCATGCGTGGTGGCTTTTCACTCCTTACTCCGTCGCAGTAATTTGTTCAAAAGTAAAACTAACACACGCTACCTCCGAAAGAAAGATGTTTACGTTGAAGATAACGCGCTTGTCATACGCTTTACCGAATTGAAAACTAACCGCTTTATCGCACAAAAACAAACGTTACGCTTGCACGCTATCGCCGGTAATCTCTAATGTCCCATTACCGCGGTCACGGCTTTACTGAAGAGGTTACGTAATCAACCTTCAAAATGCCCCTTATTTTCTTATTTTGATTCTGATGGCATCTTGCGTTACATGTCCGCGCATCTGTTTAACCTGCTGTTAAACCAAGTCGCAAAAGCGAGCGGGTTCGCACCCGCCTCCTTTTCTACCCATTCTTTCCGACGAGGTGGTGCCACATTTGCTCACAAGTGTGGCGTACCTGATGCGGCTATCCAAGCTCAGGGCAACTGGCGGAGTGACTGCTTCCGGATATATACCTCTCGCGTCGACGATCTTCGCAAGTCGTTTTCAGATCTAGTCGCCGCTCGCATTTTGGATGATTTTGGCTGTTAGGGCACTACGTGCCTCTTTTATGATGTTATATGTATACGTGTCCGTATTGCTCTTTGCTTTGTATCCGCTTGATGCCCGGAATTAAAGTCCATACCCCATGCGCCTTGTTGCTTGCCATTAAACTCACACACTCCACGTAACGACAACAGTTCTCATTATGATTAAGATTTCTTTGGGGAAATCTTTTTATATTGAAGGCGGAGTTATCCGCTGATCACCGCGCGCGCATTGGTCAGTCGTTCCTCCCCTGGCCAGGTAAAAGCAAACGCTCTCCCATTCCTGACCACCTGGACTCGCCTATATAAAGCAGCTGACCACCAGCCGGCAGCCATTAGTTCGCCCGTTTTGCCTGGAGAAGATTTTTCTTTCCCTCCCTCCATCCCCGTCACCACCTAATCTGTAACTGCTGTTCTCGAAAGGTGTTAACTTCTGCTGTTCTCATCTTTGACGTTTTTCTGTGCATGGCTGTTAGGGCACTACGTGCCTCTTTTATGATGTTATATATATACGTGTCCGTATTGCTCTTTGCTTGGTATCCGCTTGATGCCCGGAAGTAAAGTCCATACCCCATGCGCCTTGTTGCTTGCCATTAAACTCGTACACTCCACGTAACGACAACAGTTCTCATTATATGTATAATTAAGCTTGCCGTGATAATAAGTCCAAGTGTCCAACAACCTTGCTCTCTCATAGTGATGAAAATCACTCTTTGTTACATCATGCAGCTACTGAGAACTTTCACGCGCTAAATGTTTTTCAGTGAGATTGCCGATTTCACTTTTAACTGATTTCTTCTATGAGAAAGTTTCGTACATCATTCATTTCATTTCGCTTTGTGCATCATTCATGCAGAATATACGGATTTTCTTGTAGTATTTGTGACCAGCAACTTGCAGTCTTTCTTGATAATTTATGTTATTAATTTGAGGAAACGAAGCGCCCGTTGCGTCCGCTAACACTTCAATGGAATTTCGCGAGTAAAATGACGTCAGAAGAGAAAAATGAGCCTATTGCAGGATTTACTTAAACAAATCGAACAAAAAACAGGCGGGGCTAAAAAGGCAGAAAAATCAGCTTGTAGAATAGTTAAAGAAAATTTTTTTACAATTCAAAGGTTAACTAGTAACAAAAGTTACTGCGTTTGATCTTTGTACCTTCCCATCAGTTTGGATTCACGGAGCAGCCACTCCGGTTATTGAACATCAGAAATGTCTGATCGCCAACGCTAATTCTGTATTATTTTTTGTAACCGTCTTCGTCGTGTACTTCATTTCGCTCCGAGGTTTCCATACTGTAATCTGCGGTACGGAGTGCAGCTGCCGCGGTAATACGGCAATCCGGATTAGTTGTCTGACACGAATACGATAGTCGGCTTTCATAGCAAAACAGATGAACTGCAAGAGAACAGGGTCATCTGAAAACAGCCTTTGAAAATTTTCGTAAACAGTGGATGTGACTTGTGATGCTGTAGCTACAGATTCACAGTGAATAATTGCTTTTTACCGGATTCGTTGCATAACCAAGAAGCTGCGCCACCGCCAACCAGATCACCACAATCGGATAATGTACGTCATTCTCCGTGACCTTGATGAAAGAGATCATAACCGGCAGGATCATGGAGCACGCTGACGTGCACACGAACGACACGCACATCATATTGGTCGTGATTATCCGCTTTTGTCTGGTTTGTTTTTGTTTATTATCCTCGGTGCTGCTGCGCTCCGGGTCAATCTGGTGTTTTCGGCTGAGAATTTTTCCATAGATAAATACATACATTCCTGCCGTGACTACGCCGGGAATGTAAAATCCAGTCATGTACACAAACGTTCCCAGATAGCCATAAGGCAGACCGGCACACGTTCCAATGGGTATCCAAGCGAAGTGCATGCCTAGATCGAACCACCCTAGGCCCGAGTACATCAGTGCGGTTATCCATAATATCGCTACCACGGTCATTTCGGTGCGGGTCCGCGAGAACGCTCGATACCTAAAACCAGAATAATTTAATTCTTTTATTTATATAAATCGTTTTGTTTTCGAAATTTACTTGACTATAATTTATTTGAAAATGTATTCCATTTTTGAAAGGTAAATAGTGGTGGAGGTCAATTACAGTTGGGTAACCGTTGCGCGTCGGGTAACGGGGAAACGCGTAAAAAACGTGACATAACAGCGTGCAAACAAGTAAACATTCTGATTCGCAGTCACAAAATCTGGGAAGGGTTACCGTTACCCAAACTACGAGTAACTCGTTACTCTCTTGCACAGATCAACAAATTTGTGTGTGTTTGGACCAAAAGTAAATCCAGCGACCCAGAGTCACATTCCAAAACTCATAATTAACTTTTTTGACGAAATAACACATTTACCACATTTCAGCATTAAAAATCTGTTTTTCAGTTCCACTTCCGTGTTCAGTTTCTTTCTTGGCACGGAAGCGTACTCGGCTTACGATTGAACGATAATTTTTTCGCTGGGTCATGGATAGTTTTTTACGAGTTTCTCCGTTACCCGATGCGCTTCGGTTACTCAAATGTAATTGACCTCCACCACCACCAGTGTAGTCACAACGTTGCGTATTCGGGGTAACTTGCGTTTGAAGCAACCTTGTGCATTTTATGGGCCGGAAAATATGTGAGTTAACCGAAGAAACCCGGTTGTTTTATACTGTTGTTAGTAAACAACGTTTAAGTAAGATTCTTTTCAAGGGAAATGTCATGAGTGGAATTTAATGTAAAATAGTTTGATTTAGTCAATGCCATATTCAAGGGATATGCTGTACCAGAGATCCCGTTGGTAGGGAATTGATTTAATTTAAGTATGGAAATCAATTTCTGTACCTGTGCGGAAAGCATAGCGCAACAACACGGTTAACAGCAATGTACAAATCCAGCCAGTACGCTGCGAACCGGCAGCCCATCTGGATCCACTGGAAACCTTTGCAGTATTTGGGATCCAGTTGCCAGTTGAAGGCTTGTTTGCGGTAGACACTGGTGCCGACGATGGGGAAACTGAAACCGCAAAGTATGGTGTACGCTATTAAACAGTTGGCGATCAGCAGACCGCAACCGCTGCGCAATTTCCGGTTGAAAAGAATCACACAGACAATGAGCAGGTTGCCAAGAGCGCCCTCAAAACAGAAGGATAAATATACCGCGGCCCACGGTTTCAACCATTTTCCCGGGATGGTGACAGAAGAAGCGTTGGTTGTGTTGGTGATGTTTAGATTATCGGTATTTGACACATAATAATTCCAAGACATTCTTCTGAATTTCCGGGCTAAGACATCCACATTGTTAGAAAAAATGGCTTTTTTTCGGAAATTCCATCAGAGCAGAAAGAAATACATTCGCTGATAACGTTGCTTTCAATAAGCTCAAATTTATAAATTAAAGAACGGAAGCCCAAAATAATAGCCGATAATTTTTGATAAATTTTCCACTGCATCCGGAGTCGGCCCGATTCTTGTCTTGTTATACACCTAGAACACGGCATTTTCAGTGGAAAATTTCAGCCATAAACGACGCTGTAACGTTACCTTGGAGAGTACTATTCCGGTAGAAATAACTACAAGTCGGTAAACTGGCGTCTCAGCCGGGTCTGTAATTTCCAGTCTATGTGCGCGATCGTACTACCGTGACAGTTAATCAGGCAAGCACATACCGCTGTCATACAACGGGAATGTTGTAGTTCTCCTTTCATCTGCCACTTCCGGCTGCGCAGTTCGCGTGCTAATTTTTCTGGACAGCCACAACAGGGTGCCGGTAAAACGCCTTTCATCCAAAGGTGATACAAGGCTGAACTCTAAGATGTACCCATTCATAACGGTAACGCCTGCATTAAGTTTCGCGTCGTTTCTAATGAGCTACGTTATTTTGATATTATGCTGAAATGGGTCATAAAACCAACTGTATCCGCGTCGGAAAATCAGAGCAAAAATGGCGCAAAAAAGGGAGCGCTTTATTGTGGTTACACTCTAAAGCAGGCATAAAAATTACTGACTCGAGATTTTATGGAGACGAAAGTTCGGTCTCTCGCATCCGGTACAATATCGCCGCTGCTGTTAGCACTTTGTGGTGATGTTGGCACACCCTTGTTTAGACAGCTGGTAAATATAATTACGCGTTAACAAATACAAACGAAACTGTAATGTCAAAGAGTTAGCTGAAGCATTCACTGTATTTAGCAGCGCACGTGCGCATACAGCACGTTCCAACACACAAATATTCGAGCGTGCGAAGCGTCTTGTCATATACGTGGTTCTTGGAAGAACCTGACAAGGCAGAATTACAACGACAGAACCACTTCCTAAAAGGCCATATGCAGTGTTAATACTTTCTCGCTGGCAGAGTAGTGTTCTGGTGGTGGTGGCGACGGTTTATTCTACGATTTGTACGAGTAACTGTATAAATATAAACAGTAAAATTGGTATTTATTGTGGAACATGATGATTTCGAAGCTCACACTACCATTCCGATGCCCAAAAATTTAAAGAAACAACATAAACGTTGACAGAAATACTACAACTTCACTCAACATCTTCTGATACTTGTACATTAGCTGATCACATCATCATTATAAAAGCCACACTGAAAAACTGCCTTTTCACATTCGTAAACACGCGTAGTTTAGTATTCCGTTGCTTCTTTCTTGCCAGTACTCTAACTCCGATACTGCTATCATTAAGATTATTTTTGTATATCGAACCCGACCTTCCGCTAACCTTGAGCTAGGTATTTCCTCCATATGTAATTGCCAGCAACCGTTTTCTACAAACCAGAGTGCTGAATTCGGTGAAGTGTGCTCTTCAGCTTCTTAATGGATAACTTTTAAACTGAGTTTTCGTATCGAAACATGCATAAGCATTCTCGGTACTTCAGTATTTATTTTACTGTATTCAGTATTATTTTATTACAATATTTACTCAGTATTACGGGAACGTAAATTGCACACTCTCGAACGCCCGTACTACGCGCGGGCCGAAAATCCAAGAAGCCGGTTTCTAGTGCTCGGCGGTATATGGAACCATTTTGTCCCTTTTTCTTACTGCTGTTGTGGTGTATTTCAGTTTTTTTCATATTTTGCTCATTTTAAGTATGTGGCTTCGTATTTTTCTCAGCGGTCGCCAGCCCTACCCCATGCGGGTGCTGTATGAATAGCTGATGGCCACATGACTTACTTTTTGATATGTTTGTTTTGCTACTGTGTATATATTAGCAGAACAAATCGAATTTGTTGAAAATTAAAATTGTTGAAACTACAGTAGAATGTGTGGAAGATCCGTTCTTCTCATTGCATTCGGTCCACTTCCTGTTGCACCTTTTGTGTTTTCATGAAAATTTATTGATTTTCATGCTACAAAAGTGATAAAGAATTTCTATGAAAAGAAGTCGTCTATAAAAGTTTAACATTGTTAGGAAATTTTAAAGCGTAGTGAGAAAAATATAAAAACGAAAACCTTAAAGTAGAAAAACATCAGAAAAATCGAAATTATTAAACAGTTTTCGCTACCCAGTCTCGTCAGAGCGGCATTTACCGATGAGACCAGATTTGCAGTTGAGATTTGATAATTATTATTATGTTTATACTTCTGTAGCGCGAATTTATGGTAAAAGGACATAAAATACCACATATTTATAGGTAATTTGGAGAATTGATAATGGAATTAACCCTATAGAACCGAACATATCTCAGAGACGATTCTCCCGAACATGGGTCAATTTACCCAGGCACTATAATTGGCGATTTTGCCTTGAGAGGGCAGGACTGACTAATGAGAGTGAGAATAGTCAGTTTATTTGTGCTGGGCAAAAGTGGGGCAGAGCCCATTCATCTGCCAGTCTTGGCAGGATGGAACACCTCTGGTCATTCGAATCGGTCTCACAGACAGCGATATCTGCAAGCCGGCCACAATTAGATACTTACTGTTATCGCGGATCTCACGAGGGAGATACCCGAACACGTCCGCGTCAGATCAGCATACACCTGGTACCATCAGAATCCTTAGAATTTCAGCTATTTTCTTCGAGAATCAAAACACCCCCAGATAAAGAACTCGAGTTTAGGGATCTCTGAGAAGCCAGCATAGATATGATGGCTGACTTCCATCGAAACGTCAGCAGGCGCCATACGCATTGTCCAGCCTACATGCGCCATGCGTTACGCATAGTCTGGCTGCAATCTGTTGATTCTGTATTGGTTTTGTTGACGGCTTCTCACCTATTTTGCCCTATCGCGCGCACAGCATCCGCGGTTGCATTGATCTCTATGCAGCTAGTCGATGCTGCTGCGCTTAATGAGTTAAAAAACTGCGATAGCTATCGATAAAGCGCTATTTAACTTCTCGCTGAAAGACGGTTGCGCAATCTCGCATCCGTACAGACGCGCCGTACAGCTCTGTATGGCGTCTGCTGACGTTTCGATGGAAATCAGCCATCTTATCTGTGTTGCCTTCTCAGGGATCCCTAAACTCGAGTTTTTTATCTGGGGGTATTTTGATTATCAAAGAAAATAGCTGAAATTCTAAGGATTCTAATGGTACCAAGTGTATGCTGATCTGACGCGGACGTGTTCGGGTATCTCCCTCGTCAGTATCGCCGTGATGAAACTGTGTGGCCTCTCATGACTGCACTGTTCGAACGAGGATATCGCTTCCACAGAGACAGATTGCCTTACGTAACCACATTATCGACCGGTTGCGGATTTGATTTTTTTCTTCTGTAGAGCAGCAATGTATTGCAGCCTTAAACATTTTGAGTGATAGTACACATCTTTCTGCTTGGGTGGGAATTATTTCATATTCTTTGACTGAATGGTAAAGAAATGTTTAAACATTTGGCAACCGGATGTAAATCTGGGTCGCCACGACCCAGCGTAATTTTCATGCTAAACCAAATTTTTTTTGAAAACTGAAAGGCAGAAATGTTGCCAGAAATAATATAGAAGAATAGCCCTAATGAATACCCCAATGCTTTGCCAACAAGAAACGATATCTAATGTTTTTACCACTGCTTGGGTCACCATGACCCATTCCGGTTCTATAGGGTTAACAGTGGAATTAGACCGCCTGCATGCGACTGCTATGCGTGGTAAATAATTAATTTCCGATGTTCAAAGGAAATGAAAATTATATTACGAAAACAGGTTGCAAAAATTTAAATCAAGAATTGCTTAAAATAACGTAATAATAATTGAACTTGAATCTTATTAAGCAGATCATCTGTCTACTGCCTAAAACTGCGATTTATTGGAGTGCGAACCGCGAAGCCAATGTACCGAGATTTTAAAATCCAACCCGAGGCATATTGATGGGTTAATAAACATGGCTGTCTGTATTTAAAATGTCCGATTACGTCCGGCTTGGCATTTCTCATGAATCACTTAACACATCATTAACAAATTACAAAAAAACCGCAACATTCCTTCTTGCACGATCATGTTTTCTTGAAACCACCGTAAATGCCGGCATCCGGCCACTCAACCCAAATTCTTTTAAAGATATTAACCGCAAAACGCACGCCGGTTGGCGCTCTCTTTTTTCGGCAAATATTCACATCCGACAAATTTATTTAATTAACAGGTTTCTGTTGTTGCATTACCTAAGACCTAAAGAAAAAACAGTTGAATCCCGGATGCACCATTGACAAAAATCACCGCCAATGAACCGAATTTTCGGAAGCCGCTTATATTAATAGCGGTTTCCACAAATTCTAGTTTATTACCTAACATAACGATTAACAAGGCCGCAAAAAAAAACGCCGGTTCATGGTCAATCACGGCGTTTATACGCCGGCTTCACGTGTGTGCCGATATCAGCACGGCGCACCACACACCAATAACCTCCCATATTAAAGAGTGCAAACAACAGACATGTGTCGAATCAGCCGCGGGCACTCGAGATTTCCCCTAAAACTTCACGCAGAACGCTTGTAATGTGCTTCGTTATTATAGGTGGGAAACCGGTCTGCGGTTTCCTCGGCCGGCGTTTTAATAGCATCCCCAGCTAACCTAACTAATAAACATCCGGGAACCGGTTCGTCAAAAATTCCGCCGTGTAATTGCTCAGCATTCGCATAATTACATCAGGAAATGTATATCGAAGATTTCTGTTATGTGTCCGTTGGAAATATGCGGCTGTTTTCTGCCGTATCATTGCTGCCGGTTGAGGTATAAAACACTGGAGTTACCCGATGCACAAACATCAATTTGCAATCAGTTCGCTTTTCTGAATTTATCAAAATGTTGAAGGTTTTGATTTTAGCGGCAATTGTTGCCGGTAAGTTTTACCAATGCCTTCAGCGTGTTTGTTATAATTTCACTGCATTACAATAATAGTATAATCTATTATATAATACTTTTACTATAATTACAGTTCGTTATGTTAGATTTTATTATACAATTTTTTATTATTATTTACTATTTATGATTTATGTTTACTATTTATTATTTATTTTTTACTAGTATTTCCTATTTATTAATATTTATTTTATTATACAATTTTTTACTATTGTATTTAACTTTATACGTATGGGTGTGTATAAAAATTTATTTGATGTACATACTTTTTATTATTTATTTCGTCTTTCATCCTGCAAGCATTGCACATAGTATTTTGTTTACTGCATTCGCCAGTTCTTTCTATTTTTATAGTGTTACCTTCATTAACGTTTTATGTTTGCAGGTTGTGCGGCAAATTTCGGCCACTTTAAAAAACGGCATCACCGGCGCTTTTTCGAGGATGACGAAGAGACTGCCGGCGTGAGACCGCCCAACTGCAACTGCACTAAAGAAGAGCACAAGGATAAATCCTTGGAGTTGTGGAAGTACAAGCACGAAGACTGGATTGTCAAGAATCTCAGGGGCAACGATACCCTGGAATCGCTCAAGCAGAAATGGAAGCTGAAGAAACAGATCTGCGGCAATAATAATGTCACGTACGAGAGCAAGTGCGAGTACACCAACGCGGCGGCCAAGGACAGCAATCTGGGCATCCGCTGTCATGGACCGTGCCCGTGCGGAGACGAAGAGGGTGAGACAGAAATCTCCGTTAAAAACAAAGAAGAAATAGAATTATCTGCATAAATAAAAACAAATATTATCAAAATTAGCAGTAAATATTCTGTTTAATTAGCTGACCGCCTTCCATATGCGAGTATTTCAAGTAAACTGCCAATTAAATTTAATATTTGTAAGTAAAAATATTTTTATACCTTTTTTTGTACTTATGTTTTTACTTATTATTTACTTTTTTTATTTATTATTTTATACTTTTTTATACTTACTTTATTTTTAAAATTATTTTTATAGTATATGGTTCTTGCTACCCACATGCTCGGTAAAAAATTATGTCTAATTGTTCTGCGCAAAAAATGTTAGCGCAGTTTTAAAATAAACCAAATTGGTCTTATTACTGGTGTATTTTTTAATTGGTATTTCGTGGCGATAAATTGATACGAGTACTATTGCTGATTCATGGTTATTAATGCTGATGCACGTTTTGCAGAAGAACACGAATTCAAATCGCATCGCCGGCATTTCATGATACAGAAAGCCTACTGCTTGACAAACGGACAAACCGTCTACGGCAAAAACGAACTGAAGGCTGCCAAGAAAGCCAATCCCTGTAAGCCATATTTTTGCTTCATTTCGGCGTTTTATTATCACAACAAGTCAAATTATCATTATAATCGACTAGCGATTAAATGACAGCTAATCAAGCAAGCAACAAAGATTAATGGGCGTTAAATTGTTCAAGGTTACCTTCCTTGTAGCAAAACATATAAAATCGTTGTCATAACGACGAAAAATTTTCCGGGAAAATCTTTCTGTTAATTAGCATCATGTTTTTCAAATTAATTTTTATTTGATCGCTGTTTTACATAAAATTAAAAATTATTTTCTTTGTGAGAGTGTATAAGTAAGACATTTTCGAAATATAAAATTATCTTGCTAATTCTAGCTTAATAATTACATTTAGATAGAAATAAAAGATAGTTAATTATTATTAAAATACAATAATTATTGATAAATCAGATAAAAGTACTAACTATTTTGAAATAATATTAATAATATTAATGATAAATGCCCAACTAAAGTAATAACGTTACGCATAATTAATACTATTTATTACAGCTGTGGGTAAGCGGTGTCACGGTGAATGCGCCGACTGCGCCAACGACCTGCGCTGCCCCAAGCGCCGCCACCGAAATCGCCGCGAATCCCCCGTTGTAGCGCCCAACTGCGTCTGCACCCAGAAATCTTCGCATCGCTATCAGAAATTCCTGAACACGACATGCGGCCAGAAACACCTTGAGAAAAAGATGATCTGCGGTTCGGACAACGTGACTTATGCTAACAAATGCGACTTCAAGAACAAACAAGTGGCCAATCCCGCCCTGGGCAAACGCTGCCATGGAAAATGCCCATGCGATCTGGAGAAGTTCGGTAAAACCCAGCAAAATGAATCACCGCGTTTAATTAATCTGTAATGACGTGACGATTTTTATTCGCAGGACGCAAACATCACATGTTTAAACGAAATGCCGGTTTCGGTTGGGAAAAGCGTGAGGAGAAACGCGGCCTCCACAAGTACCACAAGGAAGCCGAACCGTTCTGCCTGAACAACGGTCAGACGGTCCATGGCAAGATCGAGAAGCACGAGGCTCTGAAGAAGAACGAATGTAATTACGCTTATTTGCCGGTTATTTTGAATTATGGTAATCATGATTAGTTTCTTTGCAGCTTTGGGTGTACGATGCAAGGGTGAATGCTCTGAGTGCCAGACCGCGCCCATCCACTGCCCTATTGATTATGTCAAAGAAAAGGAAGACAAGGAAAAGGCCCGCCCACACCCACCTAACTGCACGTGCCCGGAAGCGCTCAGTATGGGCTTCAAACGCCGGCATTTGGAAGTGTGCGGCAACGATAATAAGACTTACAGCAATATCTGCGAACTGATCAACAACCAGACAACCAATCCCAGTAAGTACAGATACAACAACTGATTACCAGTAAATGTTCTGCCCTAAATGATTAAGCCTTAGTATTGAGCAAATAATAACAAAAAATAAACTTTAACAGTTACCAGTATAAAAATTATTACTAATAATATTACATATGAGAAACAATAAATTAATGGCTAGAAAAATAATTATAAATAAATACATAAATAAATATTTTATATGATTCTGGCACAACGGTATATTCGTTTCCTGTTTTGACAACTGTAATTCGGTAGAGCTGGGATTCCGCTGTCTTGGCAAATGTCCATGCACCAACGAAATCAAAGGCGACTTCAAAAACCCCTTTGAAGAGGAAAACGAAAACCCCCAAGCCCAGGGCGAGAATCAGCAGCCGGAACAGGTCGACGAATCCGCTGCAGGCTCGTCCAACGCCTCTTCTAATGCTACCGTGGAACCCAAAGCCATAATCTTCGCCGTGGGATCCGCCAACATCTCCGGCTCCAACTCCACCAATTCGACCGTAGATGCGACCGCGGAATCTTTCACCCAAGAACCGGAAGCTGAGAACCCCGAGGCCAACGAGAACGAAGACCGCGAAGGCAAAGCCGATGAACCCGAGGGTGCCGAAGAGCCCGAAGGGCTGGAAGACCAGCCCGAACGCCAGCCGCGCCACTTCGGATTCGGCCGTCGTCGCCACCATCGCCGCCGTCGCCACCATAAACCCATCTGTCTGACCAACGGAAACACCGTGCGCAAATGGCGCGAAGTAAGCAAGGCCTTCGCCGCGGACCCGACTCTGGGCATCCGTTGCAAGGGAGACTGCGATGACTGCTTCAACAACACCAAATGCCCACGTTTCCCGTCGGCGGAGAAGATCGAGCGTATCAAACAGCGCCGGGAGACCAAAGCCAAGGAGTGGCGCCACTGGTACATGGAGGCCACGACCGAGAGCCCAGAACACCCGCCCAACTGCACCTGCCCCTTCGGACCCAACCACAAGGTGATGGTGCATGAAGGTGCGTGGAAGCACCATCGCAAGGGCGGAGAGAAGAATAAGTTTGAATTGTGCGGATCGAATAATGTCACCTATAAGAACCTGTGCGAACTGACCAATGCGCAAGCCCAAAATGCCGGGTTGGGATCACGGTGCTTTGGAGCGTGCCCGTGCAAGGCTGATGAATTTGACCGTAAGTAAAGTAAACGACACTAATTTTTGCAGTTACTGGTTTAGATCCTTAACAATCGTAACAACAATATTGTTACTGATTTCAAAAGATGACCATAATCCATAATCATGCATAATTTTGTGGGAATATCTTTTTATAATATTTTCTTTAACAAATGCGAAATCGAACCTTAACTTTCGCAGTGTCCAATATCAAGGAAGACAACAAGACTAAGAACTACTCCATTTGCTTGACCAACGGAAAGACCGTGCATAGCAAGCGCGAGAAATACGAAGCCCTGGCTGCCGATGCCAGTAAGTCTTTCCCGCTTTTTCTTTTGTCCGTGTTACAGAAGTAATCAATTTTGCACTTACAGCCCTTGGTGTTCGCTGCATGAACGAATGCAGCATCTGCCAGAACGACATCAAGTGCCCGCGTATCTTTAAACCCAAGAACGAAACTGAAAAGCGCCAGTTTGGCTGGGGCCACCGAGGAGGCGACAAAGGTCAAGAAAACGAAAAGGACGGCGGGGAGGAACGTGGACGGTGGCGCCGCCACAAATTCGGTATGGGCCGCAGTGATGAAGCCATGACCGCCGACAACCAGACCAACGCCAACGAAACCGAAGCAAAATCTTACTGGGAGATTAAGAAAGAACAGCCGTTCTTCCAGTTCGGAAAGGCCTTTGATTTCGGATTCGAGGAGAAGGGATTCGGTCACCATAAAGGATGGGGACATAAAGGATGGGGACATAAGGGATGGGGCCCCAAAGGTTGGGGCCACAAAGGTTGGGGACAACATAAAGGATGGGGAAATAAAGGATGGGGAAACAAAGGATGGGGAAACAAAGGATGGGGAAACAAAGGATGGGGAAACAAAGGATGGGGACACAAAGAGGCCCAAGCCGAAGACTGCGAATACTAAAATTCAGATGAATTTGTGAACGTGAAAGCGCTGGTACGCTTTTCTATGCCGGCCATAAAGTCTTACTGAGAGAATTTTATTACAGACTGTGTTTATTGTTTCGATCAGTGTGCACGGTTTTGCCGATGTACGACTGTCGGATTGCAAGTACAAACATATTGTTTGACGACGTTGAAATGATGTGAATCAATAAAGATATTATATGAGTGATATCAGCACGCCTGCAGCTTGTATTATGATCGTTATCAGTAATTTTAGCGGGAAGAAACAGTTTTACCAACTTATTCGGTAAATAATTTAGCAAGTAATGATTATTACCGTAGTTTATTACTTTTGCACAATAGCAAGAAAACAGTACATTTGAAAGCGGCTACAAAGGTGAAGAAACCCGACCGAATGCGTACTCTAGCAGAAATGCAGCGTTAAATTGTGATGCTTTTACAGATATGCAAACCGAACCTTTCGGTAAGGTACGATTAGGGCTTCAGAAAGTCATCTGCGTTAAACTTGCCGGGCACCGCTGCCTCTGCTGTATAAACTTATACTTCAAGTATAGATATAATTTGCATTTGATATATATACGTATTTGCCATTTGGATTGAGCGAATTAGATCATAATATAAATAACATGATTTATTTTGTCAAGCACCTTGAAGACAGAATAGCTGACAGTATTATTTACTATTTAGTACAATTAACAGCAGGAATGGTTTTATATTCTAAATATTTAAAACAGCTACACCGGCAAACCGCTTTATTCCGGCGCTGATTCTATCTGGTATGCGTTCTCCTTGATATCCTGCACCAGGGGTAGGCTCAGGCAAGCATCACAGTTGTTGTTGTTGTGACGATAGCAATTAATGCCATGGTCACTCAGGCCCAGAAACTGTGTATACTGCTCGTTGGTGATGGGTTTCATGGTATTCCAGATAGTATCAGGGGGTACCGCGCCATACTCATCCAAGATTATTTTAAGCAAACATTTCCCGGTGTCCACAAGGACCAACATCTTTTGTAAACAGCGTGCCGGCAAATCTAAGCGGCTCGTGCAGTACGGTGTATCTAAATCAACGACATTAAATTTAATATCGGGTTATCAACAGTGAAAACCGACAGATTCTACTAAAAACTCTTGCGTCTGTACTTTGTCTGAATGGCAGTGTGGCTGGTGGCGAATATTCAACATAAATAGTGCCGTTATCCGACTTCATTGCGCTCTCAACAGCCGTCGCCACGGCCTGGTCAAGCGGGATGGGTTTACATTGGCTGGAAATTAGGTCCAAGGAGAACCGTGCGTACAGACACAATTCCTCAACGAGAATATCGGTACAGCAATGACAAGCTTTTTCTACGGTGCACTGGGATGTATCGTTCGCGCTGGTGCAGTTGTCCGGTTTATTGGGTCGCCGACACTGTAAGCAGGTACCAAGTCAGTAAATAAAGAAGCGCGCCAGGAGGTACCATTTTTTCGTACGAACACCGTAGCGAATTTCGTATTTGACCGCGTCGTCTCCCTTTGGCGGACCACCCAACTGTGTGAGGTTATGCAATTGACAGGAACTTCCCGGCTGATGACTAATGGCCTGGTATAAATCATCCGCATCCTCCTTCCAGGGATGCAACGTGCACTGGAGTAGTAATTAATACAAACTATTGCAAAATTGTTAACTGGCGGAACTAGGATCTATGGCAAACACTTTAACAAGGTGGCGTAAATTTTGCACTTTAAATATTTTTCATTCAGAGAAAAGTTTACAGTAAATAAATCCTTTTCGATAGGCGATAGCCTACCTGTACCAACAGACTCAAATATTAGACTGATCCAAAAGTATTGTAATTCTGCTCAAATTCATCAGCATTTCGACTGCCAGAATTTTTCATGGATAATCACTCTTAAATAAAGGTAAACTGTTTTGTTTAAAAGACAAATTTAATAGTGTTAGCTATCTAAGAGTTCGTACGAAACAATATTCGTACGAAACAATAAGCAAACGAAACAATAAATATACGAAACAATAACGGCAATTTCTTGCGATAAAGCCAGCTAAAAAAAGATCTCGCCTACCTCGAAAGCATATTCGAATGTGCGAAAGGATTCCGTATATGTAATAGGATCCAGATTCTCCACATCCGCGGCTAAACCGCTCAGCAAAATCGAAAGGGCATATACACCCGAGGCAACAATGTAAACCGAAAACTGCATTGATGAAATACAGTTGACAAAAAGGTACTAACTGGCGAACAACTATATTATTCGAAAACAGAAAAATTTATTAATTTCTGTACATGCGTACGTGCGCGTTACTGTTCAGTTACAGCCACCACATAAAACAAGGTTTATATGTAGGTCACATGGATACGCATTGCAGTTTTCTGGAGATTTTCCCGATTTTTAGCAAGTTTTGCATTTACACCACCACATAGTGCCCATGATGCTCGTTAATTCTGAAGTGCTGATGGAAAATTTAAGCTGAATTTCAAGTGTTAGCCACTGTCAGCATTCGGTTTTCCTGGATACTGCAAGCACTTCACAAATAAACGCGCCAGAAATGCTTATGCAGCAAAGAGAATCATTAAACTTCTTTTTTGAAATATAGTTATTAAGTATTATTTCACCCTTGAAAACAACTACCGCACCTGAGTGGTGCGGCGCCCTGCAGCTGGCCGCTACCTCGAGCCATCGCATTAATGTTCAAAGAAAAATCGCTTTTCCGCGTTTCCGCCACTTCTTCCGATTAAATTGACTGCGCTTATTCAGAATCTGTTAGCTACCAAAAGAATTTTATATTCACCATGTCAAAAGTGTTTTGTATGGCGCGCCAGGTCGGACAAAGTTATAATAACTCGCGCAAAACCAAGACACACACGTGATGGTGAACAGCTCTTTAAATGTTTGAAATTGTGCATAACTGTTGAAACAACTGTTCATTTTGAAGGGAAGTCGATTGGAACCGAACAGTAAAAAGTGGTCGGTTAGTAAAACCACACAGTGAAAAGTATGGATCCATCGTATAATCAAGCGATTACCATCCAGATGACCAGTGTGCACACATGAAATGATCTAGTGTCATGTGCTGAATGATTAAGTCGCTGAACCGTGCAGTATGAGTGACCAGTTGGCGAGCGGAATCGGAAAAATTATTGTTGTTACTTGATTGAACTGCGAAAGCGAGCCACAAGATTACATCAACAATATCGAAACGGCTTGCGTCAATAATATTTACACATAATGTACGTAATTGACTTTATGTACAAACGCACATTGTTGGTTATATGCGCATTTCTTAATGGTTATGATATCTCCACTGACTCCGTAACTCGTATTGCTAGTTGTCATTCTTGGCGAATTGGCTTAGTAACTGACTCGACCTAAGAAGGAGCTTCTATCGCTTATCTTTTTTTGCGGTCGCAGTTCAGTCAGTTCTGCATATGTTAGTGTTTATAAACATTTCTGATTGTACTAGCTGCACTGTGGCTTCCAGTTTTCTCCCTCGGGAATGGACGGGTTGTGTCTCGCGATTCCGTACAAAACTTTTTTAATGGAGTATGGCTATACATTGATTAATTCTTGTCAACCAAGCCAGACGGATTGACGTCAGCCATTGATATGTTTCTTGGAAACATTTTCCAGCCAGCATTATGCAGTTCGGCGTGTCTGTTTCGGGACAACCGACGAACGTAAACTGTAGGTGCGGCACAGAGATGCAATAGCACATAGGTCATTCAAAATGAGATGCCCTTCCATTTTATTGGGCTCTGGTTGCGTTACTCTGCTCCAACTGCCAGACAAGCTTATCCACGGAAAAACAGGTACAAAATCAATTAGCGCCGCCTTGTTACGAGAGCGAGTTGCATTATTGTGACGCGGATCATCTTTCCAAAGGAGTAAATCAAAGTATATCTGGATTGTACTGTCATACAAAAAAAATGAAAATTAACGTTACCACATGCCATATTTCTTTTAGCAAGCGGTCTTTTTGAGAAAATTAGAAAGTGCAGGTACGGGGCGTCAGAGTACGCTGGCGAAGGACTTTGTCGTTTTCGGCAGCATCAGATTCTTCCGCTCCCTTCGAGAGCGCTGCTTGTAGGCTTTCTTGGATCGGGCAATCATGTGAAATACCCCGTAGATAAACGGGTTGGCTACTGAATTACTCATTCCTAAAAACGAAGCGTTGCCTTGTTAACTATTAAACGTTATCAATAATTATAATTACTGGAATAGTGATTCGTACGCAAACTTACCAAAGAAAAAAATGTGCTGAAACATCTTGTAATCGTCCACGTTATCAATATGCTTCTCCATTGATAGGAAGAGGATCATGGCAAGATGATAGGGAGCTAGAAAACAAATTCGCATGATTTTGCCATCATGTGGCTTTTGCATGGTGATTTTTATAACTGGATCAGCGTATGATTGTAATACAAAGCGAATATTACCAAAGCGAATTGAATCGAGAGCAAAATTATAAGCGCTTCCGTAACGTTAAGGAAACGCATGTACTTTGGTGTCCTTTGCATTAGCAAGTCTTTGCGGCACAACTTCGCAAGGGAAAAAAACGAGTGCGCAAGTTTTATATATGCAGGAAGACAGAAATGAAATACGCATACATTATAGGATTGTATTCCATATTGCTATACAGTATAGGACTGTATTCCGTATTCCATATTCCATAGAACTGCATTCCATATTGTATAGTATTCTATACTATTTTATAACAATTCGCCAAGCCAACCATGTAGCAAGGCGTATCTTATGATTAAACAGGAAAAAACATTAAAATAAAAAAAATACTGCAATAAAATCTTACCCCAACAAATAACAAATGCCGATATAACTAGAACGGATATCCACAATGTCTTCGTTTTGGCCTTTTTCATGGTATGCTCCCGTAGCCGACTGACGCCGGATGTGTCGGACTGGGTGCGTGCAATTATCACCTTCTGATGCCCTTCACTGTATGGCCCATCAATATCCGCTGTACAAGCAACAACAATCGATTTCCATTTTTCCCGTACTGTGATTTGTTATTTTTCTGGCAGACGTTTACGACTTTTACGTTTACGTTTAGATTTGTTTATTTGTTTCCGGAGGTTTCTACTGCACGCAATCGAACCTTTTATTTATCGCTGCCGACACTTATGATTTAGATTTAGGTACTCTCACTATTCTGTATTTTATGGTGTACTGACGTATTTACGAATTACGATTCGATTACTCACGGTCTAAATAGTCTTCGCAAATTTAATTCTTGTTACTGTAACATCACGAAATTGCATTAATCTCACAAATATTGATTTGGGAGCGCCACCGTTGAAATACTTTGTAATTTGGTACAATGTGAACCGTTATTTCGACACAACATGATAACATCCAGTTTAATTGTGTAAAAGACGTATTTACGATTTGGCTACTTAAGCCAATTTAGAAAATTTATTGTAAGTTCTGTAACGCTCTGCAATTATCAACATTCGGTTTTAGGTATTTACTGTGTGCCCATTATTGTTGATTTAGGAAACGTTAAGGTAATAAATGCTCGGAAAATTCTGGAAATTAATTCATCGATATGAGAACGAGTTATTTATGTCCGAAGGGCACAAAAAGGTTGAACGCTCTACTCCGCCAATTTTCCACGTGCTGTTCATGCAAATATTAATACGCTTAATTACTAAAATTAACGTAACATACGGAGCTACTTGCATTGATTTTTATTGTCATCGATAAATTTTACTCTTAGATTTTGAGATACTGCCAAGAAATTGTTAGTAGAGCGATTTAATCTAGGATAACTTATTGAAATAAGATTCTACATGAGTAAAATTAAATTTCCAGGGTCGGTCTTCTTCTCGATTTTAATTTATTTACATTACTTATTTCAGTAATTATTGTTTGTTTATACAAGTGTAAAACAATGTCTAAATTTGTTTTATATTTATTTAGTAGTATATTATCCAAATTAGTAAACGTGGTTGGGGTATCGGTTTGTAAATACTTATAAGCTACAGGTTTGGCTATAGTTGTGGTAATTCTCACTTGAGCGTTTGTGTGATTCTTTATGGAGGATTCCGAAGATCAGCACATAGGAAATGATAATAATGAGCAAAGGCAGGGCAAATATTACACAGAATGTGAAGACGACGTAGGTGGTTTCCTGCCATTTAGCAGTGTAGGCGCCATGGGTCACGCATTGATAGAATTCCCCGGTGTCCGTCTCAAACGGAGCTTTCATCACACCGAACACAAACACCTGCAACACACACCCAACCGCGCACCGGGTTAGTCTATACCGACAATTCGGAAGCACGACAAAAACGACACGAAGATTTCTACAGCGATTACAAGTGATAATGATTGTCTCTTTTGTTATGTAGGTTGCCTGTGCGTCATGGGCATGTGGTTTACAATCCGCTGGATGCTTAGGTTGACATATTGTCGCACCCGGTTGATTGTCAGCCAGTGTGCGTCATACTGCGGCTAATTCGTCAGTTAGATCCGGCTGCATTGCCATTTCTGCATTGCGAATCTGAGAACTTGTTATACGCGCCAGTGATCGCACGAGACAGAGGAAGAAAAAGCGAAATTACGGGGTGTTGTTTGAGTTGTCGTGTATCGGAAAAATGGGAACCGCACGAGCGAACGAACTGGCTGACGATTACCAGGAACAGCGTTAATTATGGATAAATGTCGGGCGTTACGTAAGCAGAAAAGAGCAGCATTTTGTTTGTAAGCAGCAACTCCGGTTCCGTGTAGCGCCGTTTAAGCTGATTAACCTTTTCGGGAGCTCTGGATGAACTATAGCGGAAATTGCTGGCTACATGAACGAAGCCGGCATTTTTGACGATTGTAATTGCCATTTTTCTCGGAAGCACGCGTTGGCAGCTGATTCAGCGACTTATTGATCCAGACCGTGTTTATATTGATGCCGGCAGGGATCGATTACAGGAGCATAAGTCAAAACCGTTGTCGATAAATATTGTTAGGAAATACAATGAAAATTTGACCTACTGTTTTAGTGATACAATAACAATCGTGCTGAGTATCGCACGCGATTTTTGTGTAAAACCGCATTAAAAACATGTACTCTGTAAATTTAATTTTTAAAAGTGATTTACTGTCAATAAACGTCTGTCGAGACATGAAGAATAATGCGGGTTCTAAGCGAGACAATGATGCTGATGTTTTTAACTGTTTCAGCAGCGGAAGCGCGTCAGTATTTACTGCTTAATGCTTACGTCAGTTGCGCGCCTACAGCAGCTGCCCGACGAAAACATTCTTGGTTGCCAGATAGAAACGATCCACTTGGCACAGATGAAGATAAAACTATCCACTTAACACGGACTGTCACAATATTAACCTCCCCTTTTCTCTCTTGCCCTGGCTCAACTGAATTGACTAATTATGCTAGCAGGCAGCTTCCGGCTCCAGCGGAGCTGCTTTTAGGCAGAGATTGTTTCGGCTGGGAATTTGTATCGCGATCGGACAGACATTTATGGATCAACCAAGATCAAGGTTGCTTGCATTTTTCATAAAGATAAAAGAGAATTGTTTGTCCGGCCCGAAATGGCAGTATTAATGCGGTGTATATTTGTAGATTGTTCCCATAAATCGTTCAGCGCCCACCTGGAGATTGTTTTGCCCAACCGCACCCCAAGGATTAGCTCAGCACGTTTGTGATGAATTTTACATGATGCATACTTGCGAATCTGCGTGAATTTTCGCGCAGAAACGCCGGTGTATTAAAATGCAGGGAAAATACAAATTAAAATCATTTAAACAGTTGTTGAGAAAACAATTTTGTGAAAGAAAATTGTCAAAAAATCGCGATGCCGAGAAACAGACTATGATAAAAATTAGGCGAACAGCAAACTAACAAACCTTTTTCGCAACAAGCTTAGTAGCTTAATGCGCAAAAAATGGAAGGAAAAATGTAACAAATATTACGCTAACTCAGTATAAAAGTCGGGAAATAAATACTAGACAAATAATCGGACCGAAATCTTACCGATCAAGAAGAGATATTGAACAAAAATCAAAGAAAGTGGATGTCTATCTGTACACAAGAAACTAAGTGCACCCAAAAATGCAAGCGAAAACACTACTTAGTGCTCAAATGCTGAGCAAGATTTAAGGAATTAACTAAGTGGATGTAGCAAGATTTCATACCGATCAGAAGCCGCCTCAGTGCTTTAAATTAGAATGCCCAAATTGTCTCTGCAAGAATTATTTTTGTTACCTGTGGAATGCTGCACAAACCGGCGACAATCCAGGCGGCCATCGTCATGCGCTTAACCAGCAGATGCTGATCAATCCGCGGCATGGGATTAACAATGGCAAAACACCGGTCCAGACTGATCACGACAATAATATTGGTGCTGGCGTACAGGGAGAACATCTGCATGTATTTCACCGCCCGGCACATAAAATCCCCGGCCAGCCACTGGTACGTAATCTTCCAGCCGGCATCGGCCAGCACACAGAAACCGGCCACCAAGATATCCGCAATCCCCAGATGCAGAATCAGCAGATCAATATTACTAAACCGTACACTATGGTAGCGCTTCCTGGCCAGTGTCACAATCACGTAGATGTTCAAAACAAACGCCAAAATTCCCAGAATGAACAGTATACTGATCTGGATCCAGCGCTGCCGTTCATCTTCCAGGTCCGTCTCCAAGAGTTTACGGTTAAACAGATCCACGTCCATGGTGTCGTTGGTGGAATTGATGACGACCAAGTGGATAGTCATGTTGGCGGCGATAGTGGTGTTTATATAGGAAATGTTATCCACACCGAACTATACTCACACTACACACACGCTGATTTACTCCGGGGTTGGTAATCAGGATCCCGGAGATAATTATACATTCAGAGTAATCCGATCCTGGTCATGGCTGCTGCCTGTTGGGGTAATTAGACGCGGTGTATGTTTTCTGTACAGAGTGCTGTGCAGCAACCGGTCCGCTGTGGATTGCGGCCGTTAATGGGCCCATATGTTGCGGCGATGTCGCGGGGGAATTGGCTGGGTTAAAGGGCGGAGTTTGGCGTCAACAGGAAGTGGTGTTGTAGGGCAGATAAGCGCTGCATACACGGCAATCCTCCAGGGACCATCATTGACGATAATCAGATGGAACTTGATGGTTGATTTTTAATTACAGGCGGTGCCATGATCGCCAGCCCTGTGATATACACACAACTGCGGCTTGAGTACACACACTGTGCAGGCTGCGATTAAAAGAAAATACGAAGAAAACTGTCGGGTTTGTTACTGTCGCTTGTCGCTGCCAGATTACATCACATTGTCGAAGTGGATAATGAAGAGCTTGTCCAAATTAGTAAGCCGCTCTTTCTCGCGCTCTCTTCGGGCTCATGTTACACGAGTCAACACGATACCAGTGTTAAGAGAAATAATTTTTAAAAATATATGATCGCTACTGCTGAAAATAGCCGGTAATATTGGCGCACTTACCACAAGTCTCATCAACAACCGCGATTTGTCTTCTTGTGTGGCGTGTTATGATTTATGGATCATCACCGGCACTTGACAGACAAACACAATGCTCAGATGACAGTGCTCCGTAAAATTACTCTCTCCTTGTCGTCGCACGGCGGGCCATAATCGTCAGTGTGAGCAATTACGCCGGACACACGAAGCGCCGAATGTTAATGGAGATGGCCCGATGAATGATGGACATCCAATGTTGACGCATTGAATATTATTAGCCGGCCAAGCAGAAGAATAGTTGTAACTTCTGCTTGAATGAATTAACGCACTTCCGACGATTAATGCTGATAAATATTGTTGAGTAAGTAAAAGACATTTTCAACAGCAAGCCGAGTACAGACTGAGTTTTTTCGTAAACACACAGATAAGACACAAGGGCACGGCTTGCGTGGAAATATGGAAAAAAAGCCGGCAGATATAAAATAGTTAATTAAGAACGGTATTCGCCATCCTCCGGCTTCGGATCACCCGGTAAATCTCGGCAGAGTGAACATGGCTGATTAACAAGACGCTGTACATATCTTCCTTGTCAGCCGAGATGTTGCGGGTGGGCGGGAAACACAGAGACCAGAGAGAGGAGATCAATAACTGACTGCCACGATCATTTACCTAATTGGATTCTGATTTATGCAATATAGCAATTGCGGCACGCTCACCCGAGCGAGGTTTAGACCGGAGGCCAATCTGTATTCCCGACTCACAATACGGTACAGAAATTACGTATCCATAACGGCGATTCGCACGCGTTTCCGGCCGGTGCAATATCATCCAGGTAAAATTATCCCGGATCTGGCAGAAAATTAGTCGCCGGGGCGAGAACGATTGTACCGTAATTCTCCGGGGCCACAGAGGAATTTTTACGGCTGCTGGTTGCGCACGAGATGTCGTATCGATTGTGCAAATCAGCGCGGGGCAATCAAATCACGGGGAGGTGTCGGGCGTACCGCAGGTAATGGCAGCTGGAGAACAAACCGTTTTGTGAAAGGAGTTTAGCGTGAAGTCACTTAACATGTGTACAAGCCCTGTGATTAATTTCTTTCATAAAGATACATGTGCATAGAACATATTAAGCACCATGCTGGCGCATGGAGAGCAGCCAGCACTTATCGCAACGATAGATAGAAGTATACATGAATTAAGACAATAAAAAAAAATTCGATCACTAAATTCTTTGGTTTTATGATAAGATGTTTATAACATATCAATATTTGACATGTACCAACCAGCCATGCCAAATGCACCTAAGATGACATAACGCGCAAAATGAGTGGCCTGGCGGGCCGTAGGATGGAGATTAGCGTTACCCATTATTTTGTATTTCTCGCTGTATCTTTACGCGAAAAAAAATCACTGAGCTTGTACTTTGGAACAAGACAATTCGCCAAAAACATGCGACTACATCAACTGCTCACGATAAACAGTTTCCCCTAAATATCAGTTTGTCGTAAGAGCTGACTCACCGACATTTCCTGGAAATTTCAACTTATCACTCACCATAATTGCGTGCGCACAATTCACCAAGGAGGCGGCTAAGCGAAAACACACACTGGCATCCATTGCTCGCGGTCAAAATAACAGTGATTAAAGCGAAAACTTTTTTCCGTATTTAAGCAGACCATTATCACAAGGCTTTCCGGGATTTTCTAAGAACTGCGTTACGCTTTTTCTTAGAAATTATCAAGACGAGCAATATGATACTCTTGCAAGGACAATAATATCAGTCCAAACTTTTCCCCTCACTTCCGCGCTGGCCGTCTGCAATATCAGCGTAATTGGCGTCAATCTGCAGTGCGGGGATTATGTGCGAAACCGCACGATTACGCACACGGCTTACACGCGAGAGGATATCAAATGGCCGTCAGATGAAAGGGATCGTCCGTAATTGCTGTTATCTTAATGCATCTCACCACGGCGCAATGGGCAATATATCAGCCGGTCTTCGTGGTAGCGATACAGCGGCACAGCCCCGAAGTGGATTGTAATCAATCCCGCGGATTAGATTACAACAGGAATGGGAGTGTGAGTTTCTTCCCTCTTGGCCAGCACTCGTAAAGGGGTAAATGGAGCGTTAATCTTGCTCCACTTGAGAGGAGCGGCCTGCTCCAGCCGTGTATAACAAGTGCCGGCAGACAGATTAGAGTGCAGTTAAGACAGCTGTTTGACGGTTAAGGAAATACTTCTGAGGAGTTTGGGTTGTTCCCGTTTATCCGCTTTACTGGCCAAGGGGAGAGCGTCGCGTTTATGCCGTTCCCTGGCATTCAGATGTTACCGGCGGCGACAGGATGGTAGCGGCCGGGTAGGGTCATCCGGAATGAATTACCGGACTAGACACCAGCAGGTAGCACTTAATCCTTATGATGTGTAGATTGGGCTTTACTGACTTGAGCAAAATATTAAGGAAATAGCTATACGCACCCCCTTCCACCTCCGTTTACTACAGGCACCCCTTTAGAACCCCGTTTTACTATTGGCACCGGCCCCTTTTCAATTTTAATGCTCGCACTCCATATTGTGAAAAAGCTACAGGCACCACATTTAAAAAAAATTAGTCTGTTACAGTGCTATCCGGCCACATGTTTTCTTGACCTTGTGGAATTTTGTAAGATATTGCAATGCCGGGTTTCACCTATTCTCGGACTCCATTAAGGTTAAGATATGTACTGTACATTCAGTTACTGAGTTCCACTGCCACGTATCACCTTCCCTCTTTTTAATTATTTATTACTTGCGCCGCGTTTTTTCGCGGACTTGACAGATTTCGGACTAAAAATTACATAACCGAAAACTAGTATTTTCGGTTAAAAAAGTTATTTTTTCCACACACTGACAAAGAAATTTGACTATAGTGCATAATAAAATATACTACGCATTTACTGGAGGCGGTAGTTTGCTGCTTACCGACAAATAAATCTTTAAGTGTGTATACTTGCAGATCTACCGGTACCGAAAATAATGTACGTATTCTAGTAGTTTTTATTTCCTTAAAACATAAAACGCTCTCATGGCTTGTTAAAGCTATTTCTCGGAGGTGTTTGACGTCTGTGGGGCTGTTTGAAAAGATGATTTAACAGTAGTTGTTTGTAAACAGTTGATTGGTACAGCGTGACAAAAGAATTGGCTCACCTCCATAATTATAAGTCGTAGTGAAAATGGACGTGAGCCATATGATGCATTGCATGATATTGATTACAGTATCTTCGAGTCGCAAGTGCAACATTTTCAGGTCTGTCGAGAAAAATCCGTATTCGTCGGCAACAAAGTTTTTTGCTGTCAAAAATTACAAAAAATTGTCTCAATAATATCCCTAGGCAGTGCTGACTGCTCACTGCTGATGTTTTGTCAGCTGCTGCATGCATTGCTTCATTTGTATATTTTTGGGGACGTCACCGGACGTGTGACTTGAAAAGTTGAATTTCGAACAACTGCACCTGCCTGTAAATAAGAGTTCGTGCCAAAAAATTGTTTTATCGGAGTATATGGGTGTTTTAGCTTAGGCCTTAGTATAAAACTATTCTGCCTTTCGACATGTTTCTTTAGTGGTTGTTTCCTATTTGTCCACAATGTTTCGCCAAACTGTTTCAAGTCTCCTTCTCATTTTTGTCGTCGGAGGTTTTTCACGAGAATTCGGTGAGCCAGCTTTCTGAATCTCATAACAAAGCAGTTTTTCGCAGTAAAACCCTGATACAGGAAAATGTGTGTGTTTATCTTAGGCAGGTTTAATAACCAAGGTTCGTCGTTCGGCCAGCAAGGTTCTCAAGATCAAAGCGCATTCCAGTCGCAAGACCAAGCGCAAGGCGATGCTGCCGGTGCCGGTCAAGCATCCGTCGGTGGCACAGGCTCTGCTCAGAGCATTAACAAGGCCGACCATCAAGCCGATGGCAAAAAAACCCAGCCCAGCAGTCTGAGCGCCAACACTGCTCAAGGCACCGGCGGTGTGAACCCTACAATGAGACCGACCCAGCAGATCAGCTTTCGGCTCGGCAGCTTTTTAATAACTGTTGCCGTTTTCACCATCGCTCCGGCTTCGTCAGCGATTTCTCTTACCGTAACGTGGGCTGCCGTGCCTTTATAGATCCGGACGGCCACAATTTCTGACCTGCATTGCTGAAGTACTGAATGTCGCCCACGCAAACTGGCCTTCTTAGGCACGTTGGTGGATAACTAATTAACGCAGCGTGCTGAGCATTGATAGTCTCTGGTTATTTGCGGAGCGCTGGCTTTGCAGATTGTGCAGATATGAGCTATAAATCTGTATGAGCAAACTATAATTATGGTTTTTCCGACTTTGCCCGTACACTTTGTGTTTATTAAATTTGTAGCCGATTGCTAGCGGCAGTCCGCTCCTGAAATGAAATAAAACGTTTAGAATATCTTGATACGGCATGGGCCGCATGGCATTAGATATGGTTTCGGAGTAAGAGCCTTAATATTCTTACCTTCGCAAAGTGAAAACTTCCCTGTGCCATTTTGATACCCATCTCTGCGGTGCGGACTTGCTTGAGGAACAGCGACGACATGGGAATCGTAATTTTAGTTCATTAGTCTACAAAATGCCGCTTAGGCGATTGTTGCGCAACACTTTTGCGTTCAGAAATGCAGCCACTGCCCACGAAAGATGGATTGAAGCTTTGCATTGGATGGATAACGATACGGTACTAGTAGCCGGAGTAATCGTCGTGTGTCTACCTTGTAGAACTGGCTCAATCGGTACCAAACTTTTATCGCGCGAAAGTCGCGGCCACGTTCGCGACGCTGTGATGGCCGCGACGCCTGTATATAGCCGCGATGCACCGCGACACTGCGTATGCCGCAGGTAGGCATACCTACCGCGACGCCGCGATGGCCGCGACGCCTGTATATAGCCGCGATGCACCGCGACACTGCGTATGCCGCAGGTAGGCATACCTACCGCGACGCCGCGATGGCCGCGACGCCTGTATATAGCCGCGATGCACCGCGACACTGCATGCCACAGGTAGGCATACTTACCGCGACGCCGCGATGGCCGCGACGCCTGTATATAGCCGCGATGCACCGCGACACTGCGTATGCCGCAGGTAGGCATACCTACCGCGACGCCGCGATGGCCGCGACGCCTGTATATAGCCGCGATGCACCGCGACACTGCGTATGCCGCAGGTAGGCATACCTACCGCGACGCCGCGATGGCCGCGACGCCTGTATATAGCCGCGATGCACCGCGACACTGCATGCCACAGGTAGGCATACTTACCGCGACGCTGTGATGGCCGCGACGCCTGTATATAGCCGCGATGCACCGCGACACTGCGTATGCCGCAGGTAGGCATACCTACCGCGACGCCGCGATGGCCGCGACGCCTGTATATAGCCGCGATGCACCGCGACACTGCGTATGCCGCAGGTAGGCATACCTACCGCGACGCCGCGATGGCCGCGACGCCTGTATATAGCCGCGATGCACCGCGACACCGCATGCCACAGGTAGGCATACTTACCGCGACGCCGCGATGGCCGCGACGCCTGTATATAGCCGCGATGCACCGCGACACTGCATGCCACAGGTAGGCATACTTACCGCGACGCTGTGATGGCCGCGACGCCTGTATATAGCCGCGATGCACCGCGACACTGCGTATGCCGCAGGTAGGCATACCTACCGCGACGCCGCGATGGCCGCGACGCCTGTATATAGCCGCGATGCACCGCGACACTGCGTATGCCGCAGGTAGGCATACCTACCGCGACGCCGCGATGGCCGCGACGCCTGTATATAGCCGCGATGCACCGCGACACTGCATGCCACAGGTAGGCATACTTACCGCGACGCTGTGATGGCCGCGACGCCTGTATATAGCCGCGATGCACCGCGACACTGCGTATGCCGCAGGTAGGCATACCTACCGCGACGCCGCGATGGCCGCGACGCCTGTATATAGCCGCGATGCACCGCGACACTGCGTATGCCGCAGGTAGGCATACCTACCGCGACGCCGCGATGGCCGCGACGCCTGTATATAGCCGCGATGCACCGCGACACTGCATGCCACAGGTAGGCATACTACCGCGACGCCGCGATGGCCGCGACGCCTGTATATAGCCGCGATGCACCGCGACACTGCGTATGCCGCAGGTAGGCATACCGCGACGCCGCGATGGCCGCGACGCCTGTATATAGCCGCGATGCACCGCGACACCGCATGCCACAGGTAGGCATATACCGCGACGCCGCGATGGCCGCGACGCCTGTATATAGCCGCGATGCACCGCGACACTGCGTATGCCGCAGGTAGGCATACTCTACCGCGACGCCGCGATGGCCGCGACGCCTGTATATAGCCGCGATGCACCGCGACACTGCGTATGCCGCAGGTAGGCATACCTACCGCGACGCCGCGATGGCCGCGACGCCTGTATATAGCCGCGATGCACCGCGACACTGCGTATGCCGCAGGTAGGCATACCTACCGCGACGCCGCGATGGCCGCGACGCCTGTATATAGCCGCGATGCACCGCGACACTGCGTATGCCGCAGGTAGGCATACCTACCGCGACGCCGCGATGGCCGCGACGCCTGTATATAGCCGCGATGCACCGCGACACTGCGTATGCCGCAGGTAGGCATACTACCGCGACGCCGCGATGGCCGCGACGCCTGTATATAGCCGCGATGCACCGCGACACTGCATGCCACAGGTAGGCATACTTACCGCGACGCCGCGATGGCCGCGACGCCTGTATATAGCCGCGATGCACCGCGACACTGCGTATGCCGCAGGTAGGCATACCTACCGCGACGCCGCGATGGCCGCGACGCCTGTATATAGCCGCGATGCACCGCGACACTGCGTATGCCGCAGGTAGGCATACCTACCGCGACGCCGCGA